ACCTCATAGTTTGGAGGAAAAAACCCTGATAATAAAAGAAAGAACTGGGCAAGTCTAGAAATAGGAAAACAATACTTCAAAGTGAAGAATTTGCTTAAATGAACTGAGTAGCTCTCCTATAGATGCTATTGTTATCCTCATTTTTTTCTAATGGAGATGATAACAGCAGCATTTATAGAGCAGCTAGACAGATAATATAAACAATTGTGGCTGGCAAAAACAGGATCTTTCATGAGACCGATCAAGGAGGATAGAGTCATCCCACTAACAGGATGATATTGAGAAGTGAAATAGCCTCAGTGTGGAAATGAAACTATACATGAAAATTACTTTCAGCAAAGAAAGTAATTAGTTTCATGCTTGAGGTATATCATTCAGTCTCCAGGCTTAAAGCTTTTTAAAAATTCTTTTATTCTTGGATGCTTTGTTAATTTTTCTGATACAGATAGTCCTTGACTTACAACAGTTGTTCAGTGATATTTCGAAGTTGCAATAGCACTGAAAAAGGTGACATGTTTTTTCACACTTTTGACCGGTGCAGCATTCCCATGGTCATGTGATCAAAATTCAGATACTGGCAACTGACTCATATTTTTAACGGTTGCAGGGTCCCAGGGTCATGTGATCACCTTTTGTGACTTTCTGACAAGCAAAGCCAATGGGAAAGCTAGATTCACTTAACAACCATGTTGCTGTCTTAACAACTGCAGGAGTGCACTTAATTGTGGCAAGAAAGGCTGTAAAATAGGGCAAAATGAGGCAAAACTCAATAAATATGTCACTTAACAACAGAAATTTTGGGCTCAGTTGTGGTTGCTAGTCAAGGACTACCTGTTTTGGGGTTAGGAATATTTATTTAGACAATATAAAAACTAAATCTCCAATTTTTTCCCTCTATCCTGCCCAGCATTTTCATGTTTTATTTAAAAAAATACTTGTCACAAATGGCTGTCAGTGAAAATGATACAGAGGTGCAAAACAACCTGCTCTGTTTCATTAGTGCTGTTTAAAAAGAGAGTAGAAGGGCCCCACTTTTGATATTTGGTGGCAACAAAATGGAATTGTGTTTAGGTCAGAAATACACTACATGATTTATCTGTAGATGTCCTAATTTCAGACTCAGTTTTGCCAAAGATAAATGGATAAATTTTGACACCTGCAATTATTTTGGTAATTTAATCATTTAACTTAAACCAAATTTATTTTATTGATTTAAATTGTTTTATTTATTTGTTTTTAATGTTAGAATTGAAAGCCATCCAGAGTCTCTTGGTTGAGTTGGGTGGCTATAGAAATTGAATAAATAAAGTTGGACTAAATAGACTAATGATGTAATGCAGATTCTTATGCTCTGATACTGTATTCTATAAGGGCTAGTTAAAATCTTGGATTTTTCCTTTTTTGTTCCTGGGTTAATTAACCTTTGAAAAAAAAGAGCCCTTGACAGCTACAACAAAGCCCAGGTGTGTTTATCTTTCTATCAAAGAAGCATACTTGAATCTTTCTTTCTAAGCATGCTTTTAAAAAGTAACTTTTAGCTTAGTCCTAAACACTTTTCCTTGGAAATCTTTATAAACTTTCAATTTTATGAATAAATATGCTTCTTGATTTCGTAATTCTGTAAAAGAAAAATTACAGTAATTGGCATTTTTGCAAGTTCAACTTTTTATTTAAAAAAAAGTTTGTTAGCCTAAAATAAAATTAAATCTACGTGTATTATTGAGTTAAAATATATCAATAAATACATATCTTTGTATTTATTTAGATTAAAATATATTCAGAAATAAAGATGTATAATCAATGTGTTAGCATATATTTATTTTCATTTTTAATTTATATCCTTCCTTTATTGTTTTTTTATAAATAAAATACCTAATACTCCTTCCTCCTCCTATTTTCCCTACAACCACAATCCTGTGAAATGAGTAGGGCTGACAGAGAGTGACAATCCCAAGGTCACCCAGCTGACTTTCATGCCTAAGGCAGATCTAGAACTCACCATCTCTCAGTTTCTAGCCTGGTGCCTTAACCTCTAGACCAAATTGTTTCTCTCTTAAATGATGATGTAAAAATTTTCATAAATAAATTGGAATACACTTATAAACGAGTGCATAAAATAGACATGTTATTTCCTGGACCATCCATTTTTATTTGGAAACAAATTATTGGAACAAGTGGATTTTTCCCCCAAGGGTACAATTATCCAGCTGTACTGTGAAGCCAGTGGCTGCATTCTCATATTGCACATGAAGTAATTGGGGTAAACACATTCTCCTAAAATACATACATACATTCCTACATGTGACTAGTGTAAGAGATGACCTGACAACTAGAATGGCACTGCCTGCAAGCCACCCATTCTCACTCCTGAAATTCCTTAGCAGATGGGATCCATATCAGGCCTCTTCCACTAGCATGAGTGGGGCGGGCTAGTCCCATTGGAGAGAGAAAACTCCTCAGATACCCTGGACCCATGCCATGTAGAGCTTTAAATGTAGCAACCAACACGTTGAATTGCATCTGGAAGCAAACTGGTAACCAATGCAGCTCACACAGTAATGTTATTATATGTGCAGCCCTAGGGACTCCCAGGACTGTGTGTAGCTTGCAAATACTCTTCAAGGGTAGCCCCATGTAGAGCACATTGCAGTAACCCAGACAAGAGATGATTAGGACACAGGGACTCACGATCCAAGTAAGGGCACAACTGGTGCACAACACCATTGATCTGGGTTACAGGATATTGAAAGAGTTTTTTTAGAGTATTGCCTCTTTTCTTCTTAGATCGAAGAGCGTCAAAGTATGATCATTTTCAATTTCTTTCTAACATCTTCCTCCTTTCCTGGGCTTAATTCATGTTTTGCTAACTGCCTCCGTTGCATTCTTTCTCTAAGGTCATTTCTGTTGTTCTCTAGACATGAATCTAAATCAATGTCCTTAGATTTTTTACAGACTCCCAAAACACTGCATAAACTTGTCTGAATTTTTAAAGGAATTCTCAAAAGTTTCTCTGTTGGCATCAACAGCCCTGCCTTTCGGCAGAATGAGATAGTTCTCCCAGGTAATAGACACTAGAAATCAGGAAATGTAATTAAGTGATAGAGGGCATAGATGTTCATGCCACACAGTTAATTCTGTAGCCAGAAGCTAGTCTGATCTGTTCCTATGCATATATAGTGGTCTGTTTAACCTGAGCATTCTGGTAATTTTATATGGATTTTAAAAGAAATTCTGTTTTTATATCACATATTTTTCTATTAACAAATGGTAGAATGGTATAAAAAGCGTCTAGTTTGTAGCATTTGTCACAATTAAAATATTAAAATAAATCCTTTTAGCAAGCTAACCTTTTTAAGTTGAAGTTGAAGAATTCTCAAAGTATGGTAGGGATCTTCAGCAGCTATTAAATAGGTCCCCCTAGTCAATTGGGGGGGGGGGGGAATTCATTGGCTCAATGTTGTACAACCTATCTTGGATGGAACTCTATTAAAACACAATATGTAATTAGACAGTTAAAAATGAAATGGTCTTAGACTCTGACATAAAAAAAAACTTTAAAAAATCAAACTGACATGTAAATTTAAAGTTTTGTGGTCTTGTGATTTATTCAGCATGTGGTTAATGAGTAGTCCTTGGTAATCATGCATAAAGAAAACTATGCACCTCTGGTTTTGCTATCTTAAGTTATTACCACTAATAGGTACCATCCACATGTCTTGAAATCTATTTTCTATGTTATTTATATTTACAGTATTATTGTTTAACTTACATTCTCTCCTTTATTTTTACAAGCAACGGCCTGTTTCACTGAAGGAAATTATAGAGAAAGCAGAATAGTAGGAACTGAGAATCTGCTTTTCGGTTGCCAGGAGTATGGGGAGAAATTTTGTATTTGCATAAATGCTTTAAGACATGGTTTGGGGGGGAGGGGTGTTTCGTACTTTTTGAAGTTTCAGTGACTGATAAATAATACTCATGCAAATAAGGATTGAATTATGGATCCAAACTGATAAATTGCATTAGTGTATTTCATTATATAAAATAAGAAAATATGTGAGATTTCTAGAGGGGCCAAGGGTGCTAGACATAATTATTCCAGCAAATTAATATCATTAATTAATGTTGTTAAGCATATTGGGGATTGAAATATATCTTCTTCTTTAAAAAGGAGCCTTTCCTCAATATCTAGCATTGGAACAGATATGATATTTTCAGACTACTTAGGATCCACTTTAAGTAAATATGAGCAAATATGAGCAAGTGCAAAAATTGACATCTTTAATTGCTAGGGCATAATCCAGAAAAAGATGGTCTTTTTCTGGATCATGCATGGACCTGAAGGATAATGGTGATGTTAATTTTCAAATAAAATAGCAGGCATAAAAGTATTATCATCAATACTACAGAACTGCAGGGCAAGGTTTGAGCCTTAAACCTTTAAGTTTTACCTTCCTGGCCAAGTTTGTATACATAGCAATGTAATATATTAGCATTGGGGGAAAATCAATATGAACATTAATTTTAAGTTTTTCAAGATATCACCCTGAACCTGCAATAAGTGCTAAGGTAGCAGTCTACTTTAACTTTTGATAATGATTAAATTAAATAATCAGTAAATTAACTGCGTCCAGCCTGTTATCTTCCATATTTCATGTTAGGACTTCAAACACGCAACAAGACCCCAAAAAGTGGCTTATAGGTATGGTATATTAGTGTGAGTTATAAGAAGAAAGCCAAATATATATGGGAACACAGGAAAGTCTTTTATTTAAAGGCATTAAAATTAAAGATGGGTAAAATTAGTTGTTGCAATGCTGTTCCAATCTGAAAGAGTTATTTCAAGCTTTTAAAAAATACCATTAGAATAGTCATCTGTGGTAGAAAGAACCCATTTCAAGCCAGTTATTCTGAATTAAGAATATTTTGTGAAACTGCTTATTAAGAATGCAGGATGCTTTATTATAATCAGACATGATAGAACCTTTCCTTTCCTGTTTCAGGGAAGAGCTTCACATTGACTATCACAGTCTTCACGAATCCTCCACAAGTAGCCACGTACCACAGAGCTATCAAGATAACAGTGGATGGGCCTCGAGAACCAAGAAGTAAGTATTCAGAAAACACTGGTGCTGTCTTCAATTATTCAAGCTTTATACAGTGAAGGGAAGATAGAAATAACCCTGTTGATCCCGTCTCTCTATTTTTTTGCCCATTAGCAGCTTTTAGCCTCTCAATATATATATATATTTAATTTGATTTATATGCCGCCCTTCTCCGGAGACTCAGGGCGGCTTACAATGTGCTAAGCAATATTTGAAAGAGAATATCTACATCAAGGGGGTTCTGTGACTATTCCGGCTGTCCATGCAATCTATTTATATACTATTAAAACTCTCGTTGTCATGATCTTTAACTAGGAAAAACTGTGCTTCATAGGGCAACAGATTTTGAACCAAAGTATCTCAAAATGGGATAATTTACAGAATGTGTCCAAAATCCAGGACCCATGACTCCCAAGGGAATTAAATTTGGGGAAGTTGAGGCTGTTTCAGTGCTACTAGCTGCTGTTGCACTGCTGGGTTGCTGCTGCAGTCATCTTCATTTTCAATGTTCTGTGACACATTCCCAGTTAGTCTTGCAATCCCCACCCAGCAGTAGCCATTTACCTGCCAGAAGGAAGGGAAGGAAAAATTCCAAATGTTCCACAATCAAACTCAATGGGGAAGTCAGAAGGAAATCAGAAAACACCCCTACTCCCACTGTGGGGTTTTGTTTTGTTTTTTTGCCCACCCTTGATCATAAATAAATTGCTCTGAGCCAATAAGGTCTGGAATGTCTAATTCAGAAATAAAGATTAGAGCTCTAAAAAGTAATAAAAGCTTACATAATTTGAGAAAGCTCCATACTAAATTCACACATACTGCATACATATTATGGAGAAAGAGTACTGATGAGTGAGGGAAGTAAAGTCAGGGCATGCACGTAGTTCTCAGTATCATGATGAGTTGTGTGAAAAGGAAACATAGGATGAGGATTTTGGTCAGCACAGTACAGTATTATGTTCTGTTCAATAATGTGTTTAAATTAATAAATGCTATACACATTATTATACACAATTATCTGGTAGAAAGGCTCTGTGAATTTAATGGATCATATTTCTGAGTAGAGATATGTGTGTTGCTAATTGCACTATTAATCTACATAGAGAATTAAATTCTTGTTACTCAGTTGTGTGTATAGGAATTGGAAAACGAGCCATTTTTATGCTAAGAACTGCAGTTACATTTTGAATACTATGCTTGGAGGGATATACCTAAAAGTCATGTATCTAGGGAAAAACTAATGTTGATTTAAGTTATTAAAACAGGTAATAGGGATACTGTTCATAGTCTTCTTTGACATATAATATTGCAGTTTTTAGCAACTTTTTAATCAGGGCAATCACCAACGACTGGGGGGGAGGGGCATTCTTGTCACAAGGTTCTAAATGTGTCACAGTTATGGAGAAGAATATAAGGGGAGCTTATATTGGGATGAGAATGGGAAAAAAATCTCATAAACTTTTCACTATAAACTCTGTACTGCATGCAAAAAAATGAAGTAGGATAAAAGAAACCATGCACGTTATTCAGCATTTCCTGCTCACTTTGCTTTCAGCTTTGCATAGGAAATTTAATTTTAGAAACAAAATAGCCCCGTTTGTCCTCCCCTTAAAGATGGCAAATAGAACAGAACTGAAGGAAGAGATGAGGGAGCCAGACAACATGCAGTTGCTTTTATATGCAGTTTATTGTCTCTCCTGCAAGTTAAGAAAACAGTAATTGTTGAGGGCAGGCAGCACTTCAAGGAGACAGATGGAATTTATTCCGCTGAGGCACAGATTTTCTCAGTCATGCCTGCCAAATTAAGAATGAGTAAATAATAAATAATATCTCAAGGGATGCATCCAGAAAATACATAAGCACGGTGTTAGAACATTCCTTCCCCCCCCCCCAGTCAATACATTGCTGAGCCTGTGCAATGTTCCCTTGTTATTACCCAAGACAATAATTAACCTCAGTGTAGAATGTTCATATTTGAATCAAAATACCTTCTTGTAAGTTGAGGTTTGTGGTTTTCTTTGCTTACTCTTCCCTCACATTTGGCAGAGGTTGCAACTATAGCTTAAGAGAAGTCAAAATGAGGAGAGTAAAGAAGTGATTGCTCATGGAAACGAGACAACATTACAATTAAGAACAGAAGAGCCAGTGGGTGTTGTAGTTAAAACATTGCACTTGGACTGAGGAGACCATGTGTAGGTCCTTGCTTGACCATTCTGCTCACTGGTGATTTTAAACCATTGATTCTTCCTTAGGCCAACTTACCTCACAGCTTTGTTGCAGTAGAAAAAGAAAAACCTATTAAAGAAGCATCGATCAAATCTACACAGAAATTGAAATTTTTACTCACTAAAATTGATGCATGTTATTTTACCACATTAAATAGAGATATGATTCATACTGTATTATCTCTTATTGTTTATATTAGTAGTTTTAAATCAACCTGATTTATTTTCATTCACAGCATGAGTTTCTATGCATATACAGTATGCATTTGGGTTTGAAACTTTGGAACATATACTATTACTAGGTTGTGTGACATCAAGGTCCTATTTTTAAAACTTTTAGCATAAATTCATTTTCTCCAATCCTATTCATACTTTCTATACAAATATATAAGTTTACAAATGCAGAAATATCTTGAGAATCTGTAAACTGATCTACATAAACTGTGTGCACTTCTTCGTTTACCGCTTTCCCTCTTTCCTTTCTTTTATTATATATATACAGCTCATTTTGGGAGCACCTTCTTCCTATCTAGAGCATACTGTTCCTGCATTCATTTGTTATTGAGACAGTATGGGCACATTGATTGCATCTTTGAACATTATTTTGAATTATTGCAATAAAGGGCAAAATGTAAGCAGGAGAGCATTCTTTTTCCATTTCAGAAAAATTATATATCTAACTAGATAGCATTAACTAAAGAAACGTGTACGAACTTTTCTGGTAATGCCCACAGTATTCTTTTGTTATAAATCGTATCATTTAAAAGAATAATCTTAAAATATAATAGATCTTAGGAATGAAATTGGTAACTTGAAGTTAGTGCAGGATTTCAAAGTGCAGCTTTTTCTTAATAAGTATCTTAGAGATAATAAATATAATAATGAAATTATACTGATGATGTAAAATAGGAACTTTTCTACATCTGTATTAGTTCTGGGGGAGAAGTAATGTCTGTATCACAATAGATGCATAACTTTGCTGGGCCCAATTTGTACTGGCAATTTAACCCCAATATCTTCTTTTCAAACGGGAAATACGTCAGCTTATATAAACAACCTTAAAAATAGTAAGTCTTTATAAAGTAGATGTATTTGTCTCCTTCCTCCCCAAATTGAAGTATGTTTCAAAATGTAATTTAAGTAACAGAAAACAATATTTTTATGTAAAATTATTAGAAGCTCTCCAGTGGCACTCTTTTTGAAAGTGTATTTTGAAAACCTATAAAACTTGCATTCATTCAAACAGGATGAATGAGTTGGAGTAATTGTCAGAATGATGTTATTTTCCATGGTTATGGAGCTATTTTTATCTCAATAGAGTTTTCTATGATTTTATTATAGTTTTCTATGATTAATATTTTGAAGCAAATGACTTTCTAAATCAAGAAATCTAGCAGATGTACAAGATTTACTTAGCTATTTCTCCCACTGATTCCAATTACAACATTTCTCAATTACTAAAATATATTTTGTATCATTGATTCTTTTAATCAGCACAATTGTAAACCTCTTGATCATAATCCACTATACTGGACTAGAGTACAACAACTGTTATGAGGAAGAAATCTGGCATGTAGTATATGAGTGTATATACAGATTCTGAACCGAATGTTAATTTTATAGATGTTTAAGAGATAAAAATAACTGACATTTGGATCTCAAGCTGATCATACATTGGGGAAAATTTTGTTTGTTTGAATGTTGGGGACACCTAATACTGGGGACAGAATTTAGTAAAATTCACAATATTTTCATGTGTAGATTAATGTTGCCTTCTTCCCAAGGACATCCTACCTTATTCTTTAAAAGCTAAAGCCCTTATTTCAACTTGTTCTCATTACTTATATTCTATCTTTCCAAATTATCTTTGATAATGAAAATAACAGAACAAGCATAACAGAAAGGAGGAGAGTGAAATATTTTTTTTTCTTATATACAGGAAAGTGGGGTTTTAAAAATGGCCCATTTTTAACCATTGACCCATGCTTTGCTTTTCTTCATGCAAGCTGTCAACTTTGTATTATTAAAACAGGGTTTAGTTATGTTTCCTCATTTGAGTACCCTCTTCCTCATCACAAGTACCTGGTAAGTTTTTCAAGGTGACACTAACTGAAAATACTAAATAAAGTGACTAGAAACTCCAACTGACAAATACAGAAAGTTGCACAGATATTTTCCTTTCCCTGGGCTGTTTGCAGAGTGGCAGTGTCAATGAACTAAAATGTTGCAGAAATGAAGGGGGGGAAATGAAAAATAATGCCTGGCATGGATGTAAGTGTAAATGAATTTATGAGTTAAAATCAGAAAGCTGGTTTTCCTGCTTTATATCAGTTCTGCAGTTTAGCAATACAATATTTCGGTCTTTGTTGTTTCTACTAATGCAGTTAACATAGAGAGCAATTTTATTTATTTATTTTCTACAATGTCACATGCATGTCATAGTGTGCATTAGCCTAATGCTCTAAGTCCTTTCCTGAGACTGCCATTTTGAATAAGTTACTGTCGCACTACAGAACAATAACAACAAAAAGTCTTTTTTGTTTCTAGAGTTCTTTGGCTGGCAGCCAGTGAATCAAAAACCAAGCTTTATAGGTGAGGGCGCTAAGAACTGGAGACAAAGAAACATTGTGGTAGCAAGTGGGTAAAGGTTTCAGTGGGTAGGGAAGATTAAAAAGATGTGAGATTATGAAGCCTGTTCAGCTAGCAAGGGAGATATATTTTCATAATCTCGTTGTAAGTTTTTTTCTGTCAGATTCTAACTTTTTTTAGCCCTTGTGA